AATCTTTAGTTGAAGTCGAAAGTGGGAACTTTAGATTGCATATAGAATTAAATAGAGCAAGTTCTTGAACCCGGGCTTCGGGGAACGGATTTGCAATTGGGATAGACATATACCCAATTGCCTTGCTTGGTTGAAATACAGGAATTGTAAATGCGTTCTTGTTAATTTTAATACCATAGACATATAGGCGTTGAGTTGACTTGAATAGGAAAGTAAGAACTCGACAGATTCTTATGAGTAATATCAACCCTGTCAATCAATAACCCAGATAAATTGATTAGTCATTTTGAGCCAAGAACACAACACGATTGTTGACTATGCATGTGACCCTGGAATATCTTCTCCCTGTTTGTTACTCGTAATTGCTATTCGTTTGGGTATTTGCGTTAGTTAGATTAATTCTTTATAGTTTAAATAGTAAAACAATTACATCTCTCTTTAGTGAACAATCTCTTGGGTAGATAAAGAAATTGGGTTTGAATCAGTCAACAGTTAATCATAAGTCTTCGTGGGAACGATACTCTACTCACTACTCTATTACTTGACGATCACGTGCACTTGCGTGAGTGTTTTGGTCGCAACAAATTTTTGGCGCCGTTGTCGGGGACTTAAAAATTAGCTACTTGACTGAATTGAGCTTTTATTACTTATTTATTCGAGTTTTAACTTTTAATTCACTTTGTTTGTGCTAATACAGGAGTTTCTATTGAATGCAAAGAAGTAGAAGCGCAAACAATTTCCTTCCTCTCGATCCCGAAATTGAATGAACACTTCACAGATTGAGGAGGGAGGTGGACGCGAGAACCAGAATTGAAAGAGAGTTGGACATCTAAGTTCAACCACAGCCAATTGAGATGGCAGGTAATGAGGAACGCGCGATGATTGAAGCCACAAGGCCCAGTCTGGCTAATATGACTCAGGCTATTGTGAAGCCTGACATCACTAGGCACTTTGAACTGAAACAATACATGGTACAGCTGATCCAATCCACAGCGCTGTTTGTGGGTTTACCTCATGAAAACCCGCAGAGGCACATTCAAAATTTCTTGGAAATTACGGATACCTACAACTATCCGAACGTTTCCAAGGACTATGTCAGGCTGACATTTTTCCCCTTTTCACTGATTGGGGAAGCTAAGGAGTGGTTGAATAAAGAGCCAGCAAATTCAATCTGCACCTGGGATGGTCTGGCGAGGAAATTCTTAATCAAGTTTTTCCCCACTAAGAAAACAAAGGTATTGAGGAGTCAAATTCTTGGGTTTGAACAACGAGCGGGCGAGACACTGCGTCAAGCATGGGAAAGGTACAAGATGATGCTCAGATACTGTCCTCATCATTGCCAGACGGATGAGGTATTGGGTCACACTTTTGTAGATGGGTTAGATAATGCTTCAAAGATAAATCTTGCCGCTTGTGGGGGTAGTTGCATGGCCAGACCGTACAGTGAAATCCAAATCTTGCTGAATAACTTCACTGCTAATTATAATAACTGGCAAGGTGAGGGTGATTCACGAAAGGCAGTTAAGCAAAAATTAGCTGGGTTACTTGAGTTAGACGAAGTGTCAGCCATGAGAGCCGATATTGCAAAGCTGGCCAATCAGATGACTAGGATGACAATGCAGCAACTACAAACAATGCAACACGTACAACAAATGATTATTTTCTGCGAACTCTGTGGCGACAGTCATATGAGTGATATGTGCCCCACGAATCCAGAATCTATCTATTATGTGGGGCAACAGAACAAAGGTGCCGAATCAGCATGCACAATACGGGAATTCTTATAATCCAAATTGGAGGAATCATCCCAACTTCTCATGGGGTGGAAATCATCAGAATCAGCATAGACCCCAAGGGAATTTCAATCAGCCTCAGAGACCACCCCAACAAATGGAAGAAAGTACCAATGATCTGCTAAAGAAGTTGTTGATTGACAATCAGCAACTCAGGACCGACTTCAAAAATCTTGAAAGGCAAATGGGGCAGTTAGCAACAAATCAAAACACTAGACCTGCAGGCGCCCTCCCCAGTGATACAGAAAAGAACCCTCAAGTGAATGCAGTTACACTTAGAAACGGGAGGGAGCTAGAGGAAGTTCCAAAGAAAAAGGAAGACAAGCCCATACCTGATGGAGATTTGATCCCTAAAGTGACTCAAGAGAAAAAGAATGCTGCTGAAATTTCAGAGCCAGTGGAGGCCACAAGACCACCACCCCCTTTTCCCCAGAGATTGCAGAAAAAGAATGATGATCACATGTTCACAAAGTTCCTCTCTATGTTGAGCCAGGTTCAATTGAATATCCCACTTGTTGATGTGCTTCGTGAAATTCCAAAGTATGCTAAATACATAAAAGATATAGTGGCTCACAAGAGAAGATTAACTGAATTTGAGACAGTGGCACTTACTGAGGAGTGCACTTCAAGGGTCCAAAATAAGCTCCCTCAAAAGCTTAAGGATCCTGGTAGCTTCACGATTCCTGTGCGCATTGGTAATATTGATGTGGGTCGTGCTCTTTACGATTTGGAGGAGAGCATAAATCTGATGCCCCTGTCTTTGTTCAAACAATTGGGCCTGGGAGCTCCAAGGCCCACTACTGTGATGTTACAGCTGGCTGACAGATCGATAGCACACCCTGAAGGGGTGATTGAAGATGTGTTGCTGTAGATTGGGAAATTCATATTCCCTGTTGATTTCATTATCCTCGATTATAAGGCTGATGAACTGGTTCCAATCATATTGGGGCAACCTCTCTTAGCTACTGGTGATGCAATTATCAAAGTGAGAGAGGGAAAGATGATTTTAAGGGTAGATGACAAGGAAGCAGTTTTTAATGTCTACAGAGCAATCCAACTTACCCGCCACTACGAGCAGCTCTCAGTGATATCTGTTGTTGAGGCCAATGAGCAGATTCATTATCCGAGTGTATATCTAGATGATTCTCTAGAGAAAGCACTTATGTTACTTGATAGCCTGGGGGTTGATGAGGAGGTTGAGGAAATGATGCACATCCTTGATACATCTTGTGCATACCTGCAAGGGACGCACCCCTTCGAGCCTTTGAATAGACCAGAGGGGCCTCCTCCAAAGCCGTCAATTGAGGAAGCCCCAAAATTGGAACTTAAACCCCTTACACCTCACCTATAATTTGGGTGACTCTGACACTTTACCTGTTATTGTCTCGTCTGACTTGTCTAAATTGCAGGAAGAAAAGCTGTTGAGAGTGCTACGTGAGCACAAGCGAGCACTTGGGTGGACTATGTCTGACATTAAGGGCATTAGTATAGCCTTCTGCATGCACAAAATTCTCATGGAGGATGGACACAAGCCCAGTGTAGAGCAACAATGCCGACTCAATCCATTTTTATGAAAGATGTGGTAAGAAAAGAAGTGATTAAGTGGCTCGACGCAGGTATTGTATTCCCTATCTCAGACAGCAAATGGGTAAGCCCCGTCAAATGTGTACCCAAGAAAGGGGGGATGACTATAGTAGTTGATGAGAATAATGATTTAATACCTACAAGAACTATCACCGGGTGGAGAATTTGTATTGATTATAGAAAATTGAACAATGTCACCCGGAAGGACCACTTTCCCCTCCCCTTTATTGACCAAATGCTTGATAGATTAGCTGGACAGGAGTACTACTTCTTCTTAGATGGTTACTCGGGGTATAATTAGATTGCTATATCCCCAGAGGACCAAGAGAAGACCACTTTTACGTGTCCTTGTGGCACGTATGCGTTCAAGCGAATGCCTTTTGGTCTTTGTAATGCACCTGCGACTTTTCAAAGGTGTATGATGGCCATTTTTACTGACATGATTGAGAGGTTTGTGGAAGTGTTCATGGACGATTTTTCTACATTTGGATGTTCTTTTGATAACTGCTTGATGAACCTTGATAAAGTACTTGCTAGGTGTGAAGAGACTAACTTGGTGCTAAACTGGGGAAAGTGCCATTTCATGGTACGTGAAGGTATGGTCCTGGGGCACAAGGTGTCCAAAGATGGTTTGCAGGTGGACAAGGCAAAGGTGGAAGCGATTGAAAAATTGCCTCCACCGATATCTGTCAAAGGCATTCGCAGTTTCTTGGGCCATGCAGGTTTTTATCGTCGTTTCATTAAAGATTTCTCGAAAATTTCCTCTCCCTTGTGCAGGTTGCTTGAGAAAGATGTCGCCTTCAAATTTGATGATACCTGTCTGAAGGCATTCGAGGAGCTGAAAGGAAGGTTGGTTACTGCACCAATCATAATTGCTCCAGACTGGGAGCAGCCGTTCGAGTTGATGTGCGATGCTAGCAACTTGGTTGTTGGTGCTGTCTTGGGGCAAATGAGAAATAAGATATTCCACTCCATCTACTATGCAAGCAAAACTCTAAATCCAGGTCATATGAACTACACCGTCACTGAAAAAGTGTTGCTTGCAGTAGTGTGGGCGTTTGACAAGTTCAGGTCATATCTTGTGAGGACCAAAGTCATCGTTTACATAGATCATTCAGCCATCAGGTACTTGTTTGAGAAAAAGGATGCCAAGCCGAGACTGATTCGGTGGGTCCTACTGCTGCAAGAGTTTGATTTAGAGATCCAAGACTGCAAAGGAACAGAGAACCAAGTAGCTGATCACTTGTCTAGGTTAGAAAATCGGAACCATGTGGCTGAAGGGGGTGCAATCAAAGAAACATTCCCTGATGAGCAGTTATTGGCAATCACCTCAAGCACAGCCCCGTGGTATGCAAATTATGTGGATATCATTGCAAGTAGGGTGACACCACCAGAATTGACACCAGACAATAGACGAAGTTTCTTGCATGATGTGAGGCTCCATATGTGGGATGAGCCATTCTTACATAGGCTATGTGCAGATCAGTTGGTGCGGAGATGTGTTCCTAAGAAGGAGATGAGTGTCATACTCCATAGTTGTCACGCCTCTTCATACGGAGGTCATCACGGTGGAGACAAAACCGCCCAAAAAGTGCTACAATCAGGTTTCTATTGGCCGAAATGGTTTAGGGATGCACACGCCTTTGTTAAAATGTGTGACAGGTGCCAAAGAACCGGGACGATCACTAAGAAGCACGAGATGCCGCTGCAAAATATCCTGGTAGTGAAGCTTTTCGATGTTTGGGGAATTGACTTCATGGGACCCTTTCCATACTCGAACGGCCATAGATACATCTTGGTGGCAGTTGATTATGTGTCCAAGTGGGTGGAGGCCATTGCTCTTCCCTCTAATGATGCAAAGGTGGTGGTAAGCTTTGTCAAGAAGCATATCTTCACACGCTTTGGAACTTCTAGAGTGTTGATCAGTGATGGAGGTACGCATTTCTGCAACAAACTGTTTTGTTGTTTTCTCTAGACTCACTTCCCTCAAGAAAATCGTCTAAACGATTCGTCATCAGGAAGAGCCTACAAAAAAATTAATTTTTTTTTTCTCGACTCAGTCCCTCAAGAACCACGTTGAAAGGGATTCGTCGTCGGGCTGAGCCATTTATCTAAATTAACAAAAAAACTACTCCTGCTTAACAAAAACTATCAAGTCAACATAAAACAAACAAAACAACCCGGCAATTTGTACAACTACATACAACATACAATGAAGGAATCCCCTACCCCATACTTAAGAAACAAGACATGCCCCCATGGCTTAAAATTTAAAAGAGCAGTAAGGTGAAGAGACTTCCCTGAAGCTTCACTCTTGATCGAAAATGGTTTCGGGGTTCACGTTTCACGCACACCCCAAAGCACGCAGCCAACCCATGAACTTCTTTTCCGACTTAACTTGTCGGTCAGCTATCACGTCCACACGAGTGCCCAAATCATTCATGGAGGTGCGTAGATCAGCCACCTCCTACTCCAATGTGGTGTGCCAGGACACTCTGGCAGTTCCTAAAGAGGACGCTGCTCGTGACAGTGTTGCAGCTGTTGTGTTGGGCACATGGGCCTGCGTTTCGCCCTCCACATCCATTTGCTCTTCCTCCTCTGATGCATCAGAACCACTCTCATCCTCTCCACCTACTGCTTCTGCTGAGGCTGCCCCCGTGGTGTTCGTGCCAGGTCGAATCTTGTGGCTTTTTCTTACCAGCCCGTCCACACGAGTATTTTCAGGCACCTGCACATTCCTGCAAAGCTTAGTCACCAAAGATGGGAAAAAGAAGCCATACTAGCGTTGGGGGCATCGGATAAACATCTCGTCGTGGATCACTTTGTCCATGTCGAAGGGAAGACCCTTGATGAAACACCAAATCAATGCAGCCCGAGGTCCACTCACCTCCGTAGTATTTGTGGAGGGAATAAGGCGATTGTTAATCATATACAGCCAACTCTTCACCTCTGGAGTTAAGACGGATGAGTGGAACTTCTCTCCATGTTTCAGCCACTCCACCATTTTCCTGGTGCTCAAATTTCATCAAAGAAGCGCTCCCACTTAGCATCGGTTGGATTTCGCCCATATTCATAAAAGTTAGTATTCTCAGGCAGAGGGTTGGGCAATTGATAAGCTATGTGTATCGCCTCAATGGAGGCATCCACCGCCTTACGGCGCACTGTGACCACATGGTTGACATGGTCTGGTAGATTAGCATAAAATTCGCGTACAACCATTACATTAGCCTCCCCTGGCTCGTCAATGAAGGCCTGCAAACCCCGCTCCATCAACTCATTGTACATGTGGGGGTATCATTCCTTGACCGTTTTGATGTTGATGCCCCTCTCCGGAATTGGCTTCTTGGCAGCCTTCTCTGTAAAACGGGTCTGAGCCTCAGGGGAGACAAATTTGTTGTTATCATAGGGACGTGCAAGAGCTGCCTTTTGGCGGCTTGAGGATGGACCCGTGACTTGGCATTTTTTCGATGGTGCCATAATACCTGCAAAACGTGGACACATTAGCTCAGCCCAACAAAAATAGTGTGACTTAATGCGGTTACTCAGACTTCACACGCAAAATTGGTCACAACTACATAATCATGCTCATTGAGGCCTTTCCACAAACACTTTGTGGGCATTAGGCTCTCACAGCTCTTTTCTAAGGGTCTTGCAACAAGGGCCTCCCACAAAATCTCATCCATAACCCAAATCAAGTACTACCCACCCCACACTTACAACAAACTAACCCCANTTTTTTTCCTTTTTTCGAACAATGATGAAACATATAAAATCTTTTTGGATTTTCTTTTCTCTTTTTTTCGATTTTTTTTTTATTTTTGAAAAATGATAAAAAGTGCAAAATCTTTTCAATTTTCAAGCTCTTCTCTTTTTTTTTAAACAAAAATGTAACAGAAAACATAATTAGGCCCCGCTCGCTTTATCCTCACACTTCACCCTCTCTTTTTCCCTTTTTTCATTTTTTCACTTGCCCTCAACTATCATTGGTCCGCCAAATGACCCTTTTACCCTTGAATAAATGCAACATGTAGCACATAAGATGCATCAAGAAGGTCTTTTCATTTCAGGTGCACCTGTTCTAGACAGACCCAACCCCTGTGTTGAGTCTCCAAAGTCAAAATGCACATGATGCAAACAAACGTTCCTACTAGGGATCCGACATGAGGCTATGTTTTTCTAGGTTTAAATCCTGCGGTTTTGGTCTAGACCTGGGGTACCCGAGCGGACAACTGGGGCCGAGGAGGGGGTGACGTACCGGGAGCACTGAAGTCTACCCGGCCTTGTCGCTTGCCCAACCTCATTCTATTTGGTAGAATTTCTACAGAAAAAGTGGGCTATGCGAACATATGCACCATGTTCAGAAGACTCAGATGGGTGGCGTAAGAAGACAGTTATATACAATCCAAATAATATTAAAGCGGTAAACAGATATCAATTAGCATAAAGGTTCACAGAATACGGTATTATGAACAATAAATAAAGCCAAGTAAAAATCATAAAACAAGCTCAAATTCTTGAACCCTGAACCAGAGATTTTGGGTAAAATCCCCAGCAGAGTCGCCAGAGCTATCACACCTCCTTTTTTATTACACCCCGTAAAGGGTACAAATACAAGGGAGTTTTCCAATTAAAGGACAATCAAAACGGGATCATTTATTTATTAAAAATCAGAGTCGCCATGGGATAATTTAGGGTGTCCTAAGTCACCGATTTAGGATCCCGAATCGAGGAAAGTTGACTCTGTTTAACAGTCCGTGAACCAGAAAT